GTCCTCTGCTCTGTGGCCATGTTCCTGGGGTACTTGTTTTAGGACCTTGTGCTGCTTCCCTGCACTAGTCACTGCCTAAGGAGGGACATCTGGCAGCCCCAGGTTGGCCCAGGCAGGAGCTCCCTCTGGAGCTGTGGCTTCCAGTTCCACTTCTCCTTGTTCTCCGTGGCCGCTGGTGGCATCTCACGCACACGTGGACTTCTCAGGAGCACAGCGCTTGCTCTTCAGTGCCAGGCCCCCTGTGCCATGGAACGAGATGTACTGTCCCTGCTCCCTTCCTCTTCTGTTTGTGGGATGTCCTACTTGCTTGGGATGTTGCCATTCTCAATAAATTGCAGAGAACATTCCCAACGTCTTAGTGTCTTTGCTTTGGAAGCTCCTTCCGGGCAAGGTGGTTTTTGCTGTTGGAGGAGCATCGTGGTGGGAAGGGGTGGGTTGTTTTGCTCAGTGTGTCGTGACTGAGCTTTAAGGCAACTGAGGGGTGTATGGAGAGAGTCAGGCAGGTGTCCAAGCATGGGTGATGCCTCTTGCCTCTCCTCCACGAGTGTCTGAAAGCAGGAGCCATGTCGGGAATGGGGGTTCTGGAAGTTCCACTCAAACCTCGTGCCGCAGCGCAGGTGGGTCTGGGGAACTGTCCCAGTGTTCACTGCTTGGCCCCTGGACCAACCAAGCGGGTTGAGCACCTGCACCTGACAGTCCCTGCTCATCATCTGCCAGTGGAGCAGGCTTTGGGACATGGCAGGTGAAGGAGAAGGCTGTGGCCTTGTGGGCAGAGGTGGAGAGCAGATTTGCAGCTACGTGGAAGCAGGACATGGTCACTGGCCAAGCGGCTGGTGCACACTAGGCTTGGCTGGGCAGGGCACACAGCTCAGCACCCTGTGAGCACCAGGGGTGCTTAAGAACCATGGGCTCATCCTGCCCTTCACTGCCCAGCAGTGGGAGCAGGGATGGCAGGAGGTATCCTGGACCTTGGGGGCCAGGTACACGTTGGGTCCCTGGAAAAGACGGAGAAGATCCCCAGGGTGTTCTCTGTACTTGGAGATCAAGTGGAAGAGCTCTGGTCTAGGTTGAAGAGAGCAACTGGGAGAAGAAAGTTGGTGTTTGATGTGTGCTTCAGGTCCCCCACCACAAGAAGAGATCAAAGAGACAGAAACCGCTTTCAGTTGTGGCTGAAACGTCCCACAACAACCTGTTGAGAGCTGCCGGTGTCCCCGTGGCAGGTCAGGAAGCTGCAGACGTTGGAAGAGGTCCAGGCAAGGCAGCAGGAAAGGAGAGAATCATGGAATGGTTTGGGTGGGAAGGAACCTTCAAGATCATCTAGATCCAACCCCTCTGCATGGGCAGGGACACCTCCCACCAGCCCAGGTTGCTCCAAGCTCCATTCAAGCTGCCCTTGAGCACTTCCAGGGATGGGGCAGCCACAGCTTCTCAGGGCAACCTATTCCAGGGTCTCCCCACCCTCCCAGGGGAGAACTTCCTCCTCATGTCTAATCTAAATCTCTCCTTCTCCAGTTTGAAGACATTACTCCTCATTCTATCACTACACACCGGGGTTTGGCCAGGGGCAAGAGTCGCCTGGTTTTGTTCTCCATCTTAAGCCTGTGCTCAGTCCCAGCTTCCCAGTGGGGAGCCTGGTGCCAGGAAGCAACATCTCTCCACTGCCAAGTCTCCTCTGGAATGTCTCTACACTGGGAGACTGGCACATCCCTGTGTCACCTTCTGGTCTGCAGGGAATGGTCCTGCTGTAGAGATGTCGTGGTGTAGAGCTGTCCTGGTGGAGAGTTTTCTGTGGAGAGTTGTCTTTGTCTCCCCAGAGCTGCCAGCCTTGCAGCTGGAGCTGTTGGGACACCCTCGTGGGGCTGCCAGGACCTCTGTGCTGGGGGAGCTGCAGAGCTGCAGCCTGGCTTGGGCTCCATCTGCACCTTCTGCAGCGCTGACACTTTTGCTGGTGCTGATGCTTTGCTGCCCCAGCTCCTTGTGCAAGAGATCTGAAGGAGCGTCTGGAGCCCGGGCTGGGGATGGAGCCTCAGCTGGAGGAGGCTGCAGTGACTCTGGGGTTGGTGTAATCTTCACATCTTGTCTGAAGACGTCAGCGTGACTCAATGTGGGCGTCTTATCTGTAGGTGCAGAGTGTGGTCAGCATCCAGGCATCTGGCTGACTTGGCAGATCTTCCCCCTCGTTATGGAGCCGCCACGTGGGATGTTAGAACTGAGTCCCTCTGCCTGCCCAGAAAGGCATCTCTAGGCATTGGGCAGCCTGGGGGAGGCTGTGAGAAGAGACAAAGTCCCTCCCTGGCTTTCCTGTAGACCCTCCTCAGGTGCTGGAAGGCCACTACGAGGTGTCCGTGGAGCCTTCTCCTCTCCAGGCTGAGCAGCCTCAACTCTCTCAGCCCGTCTTCGTAGGAGAGCTGCTCCAGCCCTCTGAGCATCTTCGTGGTCCCCTCTGGACTTGCTCCAAAAGGTCTATTTCCTTCCTGTGTTGGGGGCTCCAGAACTGGACACAGCACTCCAGGTGGGGTCTCAACAGAGTGGAGTAGAGGGGCCAAATCCCCTCCCTCGACTCTCCTTCTTGGCAGATGCTCTTCCTTCCAGCTGCCTTAGAAAGGGAAAGTGTCCCCTGCCTGCTGTAGGGACAGCTGCCTGTTCTCCAGCTGCAGCTCCGAGAGGGCAGGCCACACACATCTGGATAACCCTCGGCCAGCTGTGACTTTTGTCCCTCAGGGGCAGGATAACCCTCATCCAACCATGACTTGTGTCCCTCAAGGGTTATGTTCTCCACCCCTCTACGCCCTGTTCCAGTATGAGCTGTGGTGTCCAGCAGCCTCCCTCTCAGTGACAGACACCGAGGTTTCTGTCTTTGATGCCTCTGGTGGCTTCTGCAAGTGATTCTCTGGGCGGGTTTTTCAGAGTCTTTGAAGTGCTGCTGCCTGCAGGCTGGCGACACCTGGTCCTAATTTCAAACAACTTTCGGTTGCACAAGTGCTGTTGGTGATTGTGAAAACTTAAACTCACGTGTTTATTCCACTCTGGAATCTTATATGAAGTATATTATTTAGCTTTTGAAATGCTTTGAAGGCTTTAAATTGTGTTTCCCTTGACATCTATTGATAATTTTAAGGAACTCAAAAGTAGGAAAATATTGTGGGGTCTTTATTTCCTTAAATTTCATACATGTAACTAAAATGTGCATTTGATCAATGAGACCTGGAAGAGGTCTGCAAGATATCTCTCAGGTGCACCTCCTACTTCATACCCAGCTAGATTGTGTAAGAAAGTAGACTTTGTTAATTTCTAATTTGAAACAGCAACTGTTGCCCTAAAAATACATTTTCTATAGCAAATTTTGTCAGCACCGCTTCTCCCTCCCACCCCAACTTTGCTGTGCTCAGATCTGCCACGCAGCACTTTCACTGCTGTTCCATCAAAAAGCTTCAGAGCTTCTTCTACCTTCTAGTTGCCCCTTATTTCTAACTGATCACGCATATTCAACTCAGAATGATCATTTGCCTATCAACTGCAGTAAAAGTTATTTTAACAAGTTACTGTTTTCCCTGCCTGAATTTCTCTGTCTTCAGTCATACAGGCACACAGTCATGAGGGTTGGAAGTGACCTCTGAAGACCATCTAGTCCAACTCCCCTGCTAGAGCAGGGCCACTCTACAGCAGATCTCACAGAACCATGTTCAGATGGTTTGGGAATGTCAGCAGAAAGGGAGACTCCACAACCTCTCTGGGCAGCCTGTCCACCCTCTGTCACCCTCACAGTAAAGAAGATTTTCCTTATGTTTAGGTTGACCCTCCTGTGCTCCAGTTTGTGCCCCTTGCCCCTGGACACTGCTAAAAAGAGCCTGGCCCTATCCTCCCAACACCACCTATAGACATTTATAAGCATTGATGAGACACCCTCCCCCTCAATCTCCTCCTCTCCAGGCTGAACAGCCCCAGCTCTCTCAACCTTTCCTCATAGGGCAGATCCTTTGGTCTCCTCATCATCTTGGTGGTCTTGTGCTGGACTCTCTCCAATAGCTCCTTATCCCTTATGCACTGGAGAGCCCATCCTGACCACCTCTGGTGCCTGAAGCATCCTTCCCTCCTCCACAGGTTCAGCAATCTCTGTGGCCATCAGAAAAGCACAAGGAAGGTTCTTGACCATCCCTGTTCTCCTGCTCATTCCACTCTGGTGCTCAGGGTCTCTGTACCTGGTTGTCTCCCACTCTGGGCAACACATTTTGCAGGAAAATGCCTTAGAAGAAGACACTCCCAGCCCAACAGATGCTCTTAGGAGAGGAACTAAGCCCCTCCTTTCCGGATAAAAAAGAACTGCTGACCATTGTTAAATGTTAATGTGTGGTATTTCTGCTCTGCTCTGGGAAACTGCCTCTTGGAAAGCCACCAGCAACTTTCTGCTTAAGAAGGAGATTTAGGCTGTGCTTGGGGGGATTGTGAAAGTCTCCTTCTTGCTGGTTTTCACCAAAACGATTGCCTGACGTTGACATCAGGCAAAAGATCCAGATCCAGACAAACTGCAAACTCGTTAAGAAAAGGTAGGGAGGTGGCAGGAGGGAAGAACATGACTACATCACTGTAAAACATATTTTTCCAGATGCCATAAAGATATGGGAGTCCACTTACTCACTGAGCCCTGTTTCGATGTTCTTGCTCTTTTATTCTCTTCTGCATTGCAAAGCTTATTTCTGGGTGGAGTCAACAATTTGGCAAAAATCTGTTAACCGCACCACGCTGATGAAGACAGTAAATTTGTTTCCTCTTCACGCCCTTGTCAACCCAGCCCACCTCCAGAAATGGATAAAAGGGAATGCCTGGAGCTGTGGAGCCAGAGAAGACTGGGCACACTTCTCTCTGCACTCAGCCCTGGCAGCTCTGCTCTGTGGGTCTTTCTGCTTCCGTCAACTCTGCTCGGAACAAGCCACCATGTCTCGCCAGTCAATCTGCAGAAGCTTTGGAGGTGGAAGCAAAAGGGGATACAGCTCTTGCTCTGCCATCGCTGGTGGCTTTGGAGGAAGTGGGGCCAGAAGCAGGATCAGCTATAGCTCCTTCTCCACATCCAGGGGAGTTGGAGGCAGTGGACGTTGTGGAGGTTTTAGCAGCAGGAGCCTCCATAACATGGGTGGCAGCGGAAGGATTTCCATGGGTGGTTCTTATGGTGGTGGATATGGACATAGAACTGGTGGCTTTGGTGTTGGCTATGGAGGAGGATTTGGCAGCATTGGAGGAGGTGTCATTGGTGGAGGAGTAGGCTGCTTTGGTGGTCCTGTGAGAGGTGGTCCTGGGTTCCCTGGAGGCATCCAACCAGTGCAGGTTGACCCAACCCTCCTGCGGCCAGTCCGTGTCGATATTGATCCTCAGATCCAGCAAGTGAAGTGCCAGGAGAAGGAGCAGATCAAGACTCTTAACAACCAGTTTGCCTCTTTCATTGACAAGGTGAGAGGCTGGAACTGTGTTTGCTTGGGCATGGGGGCTTGGAGGAGCTTTTCTGTGCTGAGGAGAAGGAAATAGTGTCCCTCCCAGCTCAGGGTTGGCAGGTCTGTAATGCTGGCAGTGTTTTCATTGAGTTGTCCAAAGGTTATGGAAAAATTGTACATCCAAAGAGAAACCAAAGGACTCTCTCCAGGTTTGGATGATCCCAATTCTTCCTCAGTTTCTCTCTCTGGTGTTCTCCATGGAGTCAGACCAAAGTGGCTACAATTGACTCAGACATCCTGAGCATTTCCTTCAGTCTGTCATTTTTCAAGGACAGTTTCCTCTCCAGGAATTCTGAATGCAGGAATGAGTTTCCAGTTCATTCCTGGCTGTTCCTTATTCCAATTCAGGTAGAGATGAGTGTTCTTTAGACTTTCTGCACTGGGAGGACATAGCTTATAAATGTGTTTCACAGCTTTTGAAAATGTAAGAAATGAGCATTGAATATTTTCTCTATCTCAGAAGAGGAATGTTCTCTGATGCAGACACACAGGGGATTTTATTCACCAGAGGGCAAAAAATGATCGGAGACTTCTGCAAATCAATGTGAATTGAAATTTATAATTGGAAATGACAATCATCTGTAAATCTGGAGTGTAATCTTTCCAATAGGTAATTAAACCAAAGAGGAGAAGTGTAGCAGGAGAAAAGAGGACAAATTAAGGGATAACTGAAAATAGAAGAGAAAAAAGGAAAGCATATTCCTCTTGGAAAACTGGCTTTCAACTAACCATGGTCCGAAGGGAATTTGGGGAATGATTCCCTTGGCCTCCCTGCTGAGACCAAGGTTGGAGCAGGGTGAGGTCTTCATGAGGGACTATCTCACACCACATTTTGGGCTTGCAGGTCCGCTTCTTGGAGCAACAGAACAAGGTCCTCTCCACCAAGTGGGAGCTCCTCCAACAGCAAGGGCCTTCCGGGCCAAGGAAGAACCTTGATGTCATCTTTGAAAATTACATCCAGAACCTGAGGAGGAGGCTAGACTCTCTCCTGGGACAGAGGGGTCAGCTGGAGTCGGAGCTGCAGAACATGCGTCAGTACGTGGAGGATTACAAGTGCAAGTAAGTGTAGAGACAGACCAAGGAGAGGGGAGGCCTAGTGAGCCAGGCCAGATTGGAGATCTCCACAGTGTCTTCCCTCTGCTCTGGAGCTCTGTAGAAAGAGTACTCAGGCTGCCCAGGAGGGAAGTGGGGTCCCAGTGCTTGGCTGAGGAGCAGCCCAAGAGCCTCATCTTGTCTTGTCCCCCTAACAGGTATGAAGAAGAGATCAACAGGCGCACGGCTGCTGAGAATGAGTTTGTGGTGCTCAAGAAGGTGAGTCCCAGGGGCATGGGAGGAGCGTGTGGGGGAATAGGCTGCAAAGACTTGGAAGGAGGCAGCACCAAGAAGAATAGCTTCCAACAGGATGTGTTGGCTGCCAACAGCTCTTCTGGAATGGGGTGAAGCTGTTGTTTCTCTGTGTCGTCTCTCCTTTAGGATGTGGACTGTGCCTACATGACTAAAGTAGAGTTGGAAGCCAAGGTGGGAGCTCTGACGGACGAAATCAACTTCCTGAGGTGCATGTACGAGGAGGTAAGAGCTATCCTGGGCTGGCTGGAGGTGCCATGAGGCAGGTGGTGGGCAAAGACACTGAAGTTGTCCTGGGTGACCCTGTGGGTTTGGTGTGGAGAGGCTGCTTGGAGTTGCTGCTCTTGGCTGCCCTGCTGAGAGGGTGAGGAGGACTTGGGTGTTGGTTGCAGGAACTGGCCCAGATGCAGACGATCAGCCGGGACCTGTCTGTGGTGGTGTCCATGGACAACAACCGCCACCTGGACCTGGACAGCATCATCGAGGAGGTCAGGCGCCAGTACGAGCAGATCGCCCAGAACAGCAGAGCTGAAGCTGAGGCTTGGTACCAGAGCAGGGTGAGTTGGGGAGTGCTCAAGGTGCTTGGACAGTCTGTGCTGTTGGCTGCCTCCCTGGCCATGGAGAAGGAGCTGTCTGAGTGACACTGATGGGTTGCTTTGTGTCTGTGTGGTCAGTATGAAGAGCTGCAGAGCACTGCTGGCAGGCATGGGGACAACCTCCGCAACACCAAGATAGAGATCCAGGAGCTGACCAGGAATGTCCAGAGGCTGCGGGCTGAGATTGAGAACGTGAAGAAGCAGGTAGGGGCTCCTCAGCACCTTGTTGGGTGGTAACATTGAGCTGTGTCCCAGCTGAGCTGGGTGGTGTGCCAGGGGAAGGGTGAGGGGAACGCAGTCATTGGAACTCAGGTCCTTTGGATGAGGTGGATGGTTCCTGCCTGTTGTCCATCCATTTTGTGCTCCAGGCACTGCTCCGGTGGAGGATGTGCAGAAGGGACCCAAGCAACAGCTTTTCTTTTTCTCAGAACCAGCAGCTGCAGGCAGCTATTGCTGAGGCCGAGGAGCGGGGTGAGATGGCCCTGAAAGATGCCAGGAGGAAGCTGGAGGAGCTGGAATGTGCCCTGAGCAAGGACAAGGAGGAGCTGGCTCGCTTGCTGAAGGAGTACCAGGAGCTGCTGAACATCAAGATTGCTCTGGATGTTGAGATCGCCATGTACAGGAAGCTGCTGGAAGGGGAGGAGAACAGGTGAGACCTTCTGCCATGACATGTTCTGGTTTTGGGACTGACCGAGGTCTAATTATCTCTTACAACCCATTCAACATTTGAATCTGACTTACTTTCATTTTTTGGCCAGTTTTTTAAGCCTGAAAATAGAAATAAGGTGCAAACAGAGAATATTTCTGAGTGGTTTTGAGTGATGTTGAATAAAACAGGTTAAAGGAGTACTTGGGAAATTGCAGAGAATTGAACTGCTTTCCATTCTGCTAATTATGTTCCTTTCCCTATGCAGGCTCTGTGGAGAGAACCCATCCAACGTGAATGTCTGTAAGTATCTGGACATGGTCCTGTCTGCAGAATGGCTTTCTCTCTGGGTTTTGAGGGGTTCCCAGGTTGTGTCTTGGCCTACACTCAGCCTCTCCTTCTCTTGCAGCTGTGGTGGGCAGAACCACTGTTGCTGGTGGCAGAGCTGGTGGCTTTGGAGGCAGCAGTGGCCTGGGAGGAGGAGTGTGTGCAGTGGGAGGAGGAAGCATCATTGGAGGCAGCTGTGGCATGGGAGGAGGAATCCTCAGTGGCTGCTTCTCTTCTGGAAGTGGAAGAATCTGCAGCTCTGGAGGTGGCAACTTCATGGCATCAGGTGGATCCTCCTCAGTGAGGAGATGTGTCACAACCACAACTGTCAAATCTTCAGGTGTAAAATACTGAGCCCTGCCCCCAGTCCCTCCAAGGAAAGAAGCACCTTCTCCTGGCTCCAGAAGCAGCACAGCCCCTTCCATCCAGCAAAGAAATGAACAGTTTCCTCTGTAGTTCCCAGCCTCCCTCCATCATCCTGCTCACAGGGAGATCTGCAGCCAAGCACCATCCTGCTGGCAGAGCCTGGCTCCTCTCTGAGCTCCATCAGTCTCCAGGGATGAAAGATCTCCCTGTTTTTGTGGGAACCAGGGACTGCAGAGCTCATCATCTTGCTGCTGCCCAGGCTGCTGCGCTGGCTGAGCAGGAGCTTGTATAAAACTGCTCTTTCCTTTAACTTTTCAAGGTCTCTTTTTCAGCACTGCAGGTCCTGCATGTTGCCCACGTGCTTGTTTCAGCTCTATCAGCAATTCATGTAAGCAGAAGAAATGTGATAATGCCTCATTGTCAGGTCTTGGGGTGAGAAGCAGGTCTCTGAAGATGTCCACCTTCCCTTGGTGGAGTAATTTGGCAGCTTTAATATTTTATAGAATCTTTTCTATCTTCTCCTTCACACCTGACATCTGTATGGCCTTATTGCAAACCTTCTGCTGTGGGAACCCTGCTGCATTGGTGGCTTTCTCCCAGCAACCCTTTCCTCCACATTCTTTCATTACCAATAAACTGCAGATAGATGAAGAGATTTCTGTGTGTCATCACTTCTCCAGGGGAGACCGAACATACTTTGTCCTCTGCTGTGAGGAACAGCCAAGCCTATGGCGCTCTGCCCCATGGTGCAAATCACCATGAACTGCCCACCTGGGGTGAGGAGGTGGAGGATGGCCCTCCTCTCTCCTCTTAGGAAGTATTATCTTGCTCTTCCAAGGTAGATTCCCTATGTCTCTGTGAGGTGGGAAAGCCATGAAGTGGAGGGATTGTCCTCACTGCAAGCATTGCAGGAGGAAATGTCCAGCCCTCCGCTGATGGGCACCTCAGGAGGGAGGCAGGACAGGCCACCAGTGGGGACATTGTGGTGGGAACATAGCAAGGAATGGTGGCAGTTGGTCTGCCATGATCTGGATGTGGTGGTTTGACCATGGTGACCTGAACAAAGCAGTTGTGGCATTTGGATTGGGCGGTTTGAACATGGCCATTGGGGTCTAGCAGTTGGACTTGGTGGATTGAAGACGATCATTAGAATGGGGTGGTCTGAACAGGGCCATGGGGAGGGTCTAGGACAACTCTCTGCCACCAGTTCTCTGCTGGGACATCTCTACACCTGGATGTTTCAGTGCTGGGACATCTCCAGGACAACTCTCTGCGGACTGGCAGGTGACACAGGGCTGTGCCTGTGTCCTGGTGTAGAGATGTCTCACAGCAAAGATGTCCTGGCAGAGAGCTGGTGGTGGAAAGTTCCTGCCATGGGAACGTGACAGTTGGACTGGGGCATTTTGACCACTGCCCTTGGACACAGCCAGGGATGTGGGAATTACTGGAGTAGCTCTCATCTCAAGAGGACATGATGCCGAGCATGAGGTGGCTTGGTCCTGATGGTGCCTGGAGCTCCCACCCAGGAGCCCTGGAGGCCTCCACGGGGTAGGACACCAGCGACAGCTCTGCAGCTAATGCACCCATATAGAGTGGTTGTCCTCCAGCCTGGGCTGGCAGGAGGGCAAGCAGCACCATCTACCTGGCAAGCAGGGCTCTTACCTGGGCACCAGCACCTCACACGTGAGCAGTGGGAAGGCCTGGAGATGCTGTGGGGACACAAATTACTCCTGAAAAAAAAGCAGCATGGAAGTATGAGACACATCCCCAAACCTGCTATTATAGCTCCAGATGGCCCAGCCAGGTTAGTCACTAACCCTCACTAAATAACAGCCCATTGCAACCAAATTAATTTGATTAATGCTTGGCTGGATTCTTCTCCAGCCCTGGGAAGAGTGAGAACCAGAGCAGTGTGTGAATCAGCCCTGACTGTATCAGTGGGGGTGTCAGCCCGGGCAGCCTTGGAGTCTGTCAGAGAAAAGTAGGGAAATGGAGAAGATCTGGATTGTAGAGTCTTGGCTGCCCAAACGGACAAAAGGAAGAAATAACAGTTCATAGAATCATGGAATGGTTTGGGTTGGAAGGGATCTTAAAGATCATCCAGTTCAACACCCCTGCCATGGGTAGGGACACCTCCCACCAGCCCAGGCTGCTCCCAGCCCCATCCAACCTGCCCTTCAACACTGCCAGGGACAGGGCAGCCACAGCTTCCCTGGGCAGCCTGGGCCAGGGTCTCCCTACCACTCACAAGGAAGAATTTCCTCCTCATGTCCAACCTCAATCTCCTCTCCTCCAGTTTTAATCTGTTAGCCCTTGTCCTCTCACTCCCTGTGAGTGGACAGGACCCTCCCCAGCTTTTCTGGAGCCTCTTCAGGCACTGGAAGGTGCTCTAAGGTCTCCCTGAAGCCTTCTCCAGTTCCATTCTGGAGAACAATTTCTATCTGAAGTGGTTCTTATATGAACCAGTGTTACTTTCATCCAGCTTTTCATATTTTCCCCCAAATATTCTTTCAGCTGACACACTTGACTTCTTAATCTGATGCTTAGACCAGGGGACAACGTGTCTTATTATCTTGTTTGTATAAACAATGACTTTTCTGATTCAAAAATTCCTAGGTTGGGATGGGATAGACCCAAGAAGTCATCTCCTGCTTCCTCGTCCCAGTGAGGAGTCCAAGGAGCCTTGGAGTCTGTCAGAGAAAAGTAGGGAAATGGAGAAGATCTGGATTGTAGAGTCTTGGCTGCCCAAACGGACAAAAGGAAGAAATAACAGTTCATAGAATCATGGAATGGTTTGGGTTGGAAGGGATCTTAAAGATCATCCAGTTCAACACCCCTGCCATGGGTAGGGACACCTCCCACCAGCCCAGGCTGCTCCCAGCCCCATCCAACCTGCCCTTCAACACTGCCAGGGACAGGGCAGCCACAGCTTCCCTGGGCAGCCTGGGCCAGGGTCTCCCTACCACTCACAAGGAAGAATTTCCTCCTCATGTCCAACCTCAATCTCCTCTCCTCCAGTTTTAATCCGTTAGCCCTTGTCCTCTCACTCCCTGTGAGTGGACAGGACCCTCCCCAGCTTTTCTGGAGCCTCTTCAGGCACTGGAAGGTGCTCTAAGGTCTCCCTGAAGCCTTCTCCAGTTCCATTCTGGAGAACAATTTCTATCTGAAGTGGTTCTTATATGAACCAGTGTTACTTTCATCCAGCTTTTCATATTTTCCCCCAAATATTCTTTCAGCTGACACACTTGACTTCTTAATCTGATGCTTAGACCAGGGGACAACGTGTCTTATTATCTTGTTTGTATAAACAATGACTTTTCTGATTCAAAAATTCCTAGGTTGGGATGGGTTAGACCCAAGAAGTCATCTCCTGCTTCCTCGTCCCAGTGAGGAGTCCAAGGGCAGGTACAGAGCAAGATGGTGCAAAGTCCTAGAGTGTCTCTGGGGTCTTCCTTAGGAGGGAGGCAGAGGGTGAAGATCCCCCGTGTGCTGAAGCACAGGAAGCCAAAGCTGCAGGCTTCGTCCTGCAGGAAACCACAGGCTTTTTATGACTTCCCAGAGTTTTTCCTGGAGAGGGGCCAGGCTACAAGATGGAGGTGCCAGAGTTTATCTTCCTCATCTGCTGTGCTCATGAAAAATGGAATTATGTTAATTGCTCAGGTGCATCACGCTGGGATAGAAGGTGGTACCAGCCCCGTGGCTGGGCTGCCCTGCCTTTACTGCACAGGGCACTGTGCCAGCCCTGCTGCAACAGGAGCTCCAGATTTGCAGCAATGGGGCCTGTTTTGCTTAAAATGAGTGAATTTACTTGTGAAGCAGCCTCAGTGTGATCAAGCCATGAGAACTCTTCAAGACCTTTTGGTAGATCTGTTGCTATTTTGGACATAAAGGTTAAAAAGACTGAACAAATGTATTTTTGGTTGGTTTATAAGTTCTGTTTTCCTACAGAGGAGGACACATGCTCTCTGTGCTAATACCAAATCTGCCCCCAGGAGTCTCCTGTGGGCTCTGCTTAGGTGCTCATGAGAACCTGCTTGTGTTGTCAGATAATTTTTGGCTTGCAAAGATTGGAGGTCAAAGTGAGGTGGCAAATGCCTTGCTTCTAGTGTTGACCACGGAGTCTCCATCACTCAGTCCAAGTAATTTGGGGTTGTGAGGTACAGCCTGGGACTGCTGGTCCCTCCAGCCACCAGCTGGTCTCGTGCAAGACCACTGATGTCTAGATGCCCTGCAGCTCAGAGGACAGTTAGATCTGAGCTGGTGGGACTCAGAGCCATCAATCTTCCACCAAGTGTTGCTGAGGTGGAAGAGAAAGGAGACCTCACCACAACGAAGCCAAAAGCAAATGGGATGAGCTCTTCAGAGCCATCAGGGGAGCCAAAGAGGGGCTTGGCCATGCACTGAAGGGATATCATGACTTGCTGGGTGTGAAGATAGCCCTGGACATGGAGATCACGATGTGCAGGAAGCTGCTGGATGGAGAGGAGAGCAGGTAGGTGCTATCACACAACCCGGTTCAGGGTGTGAATGGTGCATCATTCTTTGAATTGGAACATGGAAAGAAATTTAATGGGAGCAACGTTTTATGAGCTTAAGTGGGAAATGAATCCAGGTGGCATTATACTGGCTGTAATTAGAGCTGTAATGAGGTTTTAATTGTTACTAATCATATTTATTATGGGAGGGCCTTGGGAGCTACCAAGACAGCTCCCCTTGGGTGGCTCACTGTGCAAATATGGAGAAGACTCACCCACTTTGCAATTGTGCTGGGTATGACAGTGAGCAGCTGGCAAGCAGAAACATTTGCTTTGCTGAGGGACACTGCTCTGCTGGAGGGGGGAGCAGTGTCTCCTGGGGGTGACCTGCCTCTGCGTCCTGGAGATGCTGTTTACGTGGCATGGATCTCCTGAGCAGCCGGAGTCCTTCCTGGCCCTGAAGGATGAGATGTTCAGGGCAATGTTCTGAGGTGCAGAGAGGTTAGAGGAGGT